GGCAGGCTGTGATGGTGGTGGGGGGTATAGCTGGCAGGCTGTGATGGTGGGGGTTGGGGGTGTAGCTGGCAGGCTGTGATGGTGGGGAGGTGTAGCTGGAAGGCTGTGATGGTGGTGGGAGGTGTAGCTGGAAGGCTGTGATGGTGGTGGGAGGTGTAGCTGGAAGGCTGTGATGGTGGTGGGGGTGTAGCTGGAAGGCTGTGATGGTAGTGGGGGTGTAGCTGGCAGGCTGTATTAATTAGAGAGGTGCTTGGCACAGAGCTTCATGATAGATTGTGGGGGGTGCTTGGCTGGCAGGCTGTGATGGTGGGGGTTGTAGCTGGCAGGCTGTATGTGATGGTGGGGGGGTGTAGCTGAGCTGTGATGGTGGGGGTTGTAGCTGGCAGGCTGTGTGGTGAATTCAGGGGGTTAGCCCAGCTGGCAGGCTGTGGTGGTGGGGGGTTGTAGCTGGCAGGCTGTGATGATGGTGCTGGGGGGTGTAGCTGGCAGGCTGTGATGGGTGGGGGTTGTAGCTGGCAGGGCTGTGGTGGTGGGGGTTGTAGCTGGCAGGCTGTGATGGTGGGGTTGTAGCTGGCAGGCTGTGGTGGTGGGGGTTGTAGCTGGCAGGCTGTGGTGAGGGTGGGGGTTGTAGCTGGCGGGCTGTGGTGGTGGGGGGTTGGCGGCGGGCTGGTGGGGGTTGTAGCCCCTGGCGGGCTGTGGTGTGGTGGGGGTTGTAGCTGAGGCTGTGAGGTGGATTGGGGCGGGTGTGGCTAGCGGGCTGTGGTGGTGGTGGTGGGGGTGTGGCTGGCGGGCTGTGGTGGTGGGGGTTGTAGCTGGCGGGCTGTGGTGGTGCTGGGGGGTTGTGGCTGGCGGGCTGTGGTGGTGGGGGTTGTAGCTGGCAGGGCTGTGTGGTGGTGGGGGCGGTGTGGCTGGCGGGCTGTGGTGGTGTGTGGTGGTGGGGGGGGGTGTAGCTGGCAGGCTGTGATGGTGGTGGTGGTTGGGGGTGTAGCTGGCAGGCTGTGATGGTGGGGGTGTAGCTGGCAGGCTGTGATGGTGGTGGTGGTGGTGGGATAGTTATAGCTGGCAGTCGGCCCCGCCCCCTCTCAGTGCGCAGGCGCAGTGCAGAATGTCTGCAGGTTTCGGGCCAATCACACACTCGGTCGTTGCTGCGTCATTCCAGCGCTCAGCCAATGAGAGGCGCCGTGGTTGCGCTGTGGCTGCAGGGACTGAGCGAGGCGAGCTGAGGAGGACAGGTGAGTGCGGCCCGGGCCGGGGATAGAGCACCGCCAGCATGGTGTGTGCAGTTCTCTAACTGCCACCTCTGCCGGGCGGTGAGCCACTGCCAGCACTACAATGCCTGACACAGCTGGCAGTGACTACAACTCCCAGCATGCTTCCCCAGGCCTTCATACTAATACAGCAATATGGGAGACTCCTCCATGGGGAACCGGCCTTAACACAGCAATATCCACAACACCCTCAGCCATCCCTGACAGCATGTAACACCCTCAGCCATCCCTGGCAGCCTGTAACACACTCAGCCATCCCTGACAGCCTGTGACACCCTCAGCCATCCCTGACAGCATGTAACACCCTCAGCCATCCCTGACAGCATGTAACACCCTCAGCCATCCCTGACAGCATGTAACACCCTCAGCCATCCCTGACAGCCTGTGACACCCTCAGCCATCCCTGACAGCCTGTGACACCCTCAGCCATCCCTGACAGCCTGTAACACCCTCAGCCATCCCTGACAGCCTGTGACACCCTCAGCCATCCCTGACAGCCTGTGACACCCTCAGCCATCCCTGACAGCCTGTAACACACTCAGCCATCCCTGACAGCCTGTAACACCCTCAGCCATCCCTGACAGCCTGTAACACCCTCAGCCATCCCTGACAGCCTGTAACACCCTCAGCCATCCCTGGCAGCCTGTAACACCCTCAGCCATCCCTGACAGCCATCCCTGACAGCATGTAACACCCTCAGCCATCCCTGACAGCCATGTGTGACACCCTCAGCCATCCCTGACAGCCACCCTCAGCCATCCCTGACAGCCTCAGCCATCCCTGACAGCCACCCTCAGCCATCCCTGACAGCCTGTGACACCCTCAGCCATCCCTGACAGCCTGTACACCCTCAGCCATCCCTGACAGCCTGTAACACCCTCAGCCATCCCTGACAGCCTGTGAACACCCTCAGCCATCCCTGACAGCCTGTGACACCCTCAGCCATCCCTGGCAGCCTGTAACACCCTCAGCCATCCCTGACAGACAGCCTGTGACACCCTCGGCCATCCCTGGCAGCCTGTGACACCCTCGGCCATCCCTGACAGCCTGTGACACCCTCGGCCATCCCTGGCAGCCTGTAACCCCCTCGGCCATCCCTGACAGCATGTAACCCCCTCGGCCATCCCTGGCAGCCTGTAACACCCTCGGCCATCCCTGACAGCATGTAACCCCCTCGGCCATCCCTGGCAGCCTGTGACACCCTCGGCCATCCCTGGCAGCCTGTGACACCCTCGGCCATCCCTGGCAGCCTGTGACACCCTCGGCCATCCCTGACAGCCTGTGACCCCCTCGGCCATCCCTGGCAGCCTGTGACCCCCTCGGCCACCCCTGGCAGCCTGTGACCCCCTCGGCCACCCCTGGCAGGCTGTGGGCACCCTCGGCCACCCCTGGCAGGCTGTGGGCACCCTCGGCCACCCCTGGCAGGCTGTGG